TTTTTTATTCACCAGACAGTTTTGTAGCGGAAGCAATGAATGGGAATAAACTGCATCCAGACGTGACACTCAAGGTGAGGAGAAATGGGTGTACGTCATTTTCAAGATGATTGCACTCAGATAGCGACAAGGATATATGTGTTTTTGTACCTGCTCATGCAAGCCTGAGTCCCGATCCACAAAGCACTCGTAGCGCTACAACATTCGTAAGCCTATGGTAAAATATAAGATTTATGACAGGTTGCAACGTTACGAACGCTTTGTGGATCCGGACCCTGGACATCTGATGAGTTCAGCCCAATAGTGCTTGTATCATTCTATTATGCAAGCACCATCTTTTAGAGTCTTTTGATATATCATGGTCAGATATCAAACCACTAACATTCTGCTTCCCAATCACCCAGAGCATCCGCTACATCTCAGAAGCAGTCTGACACTCAAGCATAAAGACGTCATTCGCAAAATGAGATTCATTTGCACCTTCCTACTTCACAACTGAATAAATTCAAACCATATCCGTGACAATAAAATTCCTGACGTCAATACCATGTTGTTATTATACAAAAAGCAGATTAATTTCACTTGCAAAACATATTCATGAGGGTGCCTACTGATCTGACAGCAAATAATCAGAAATTGAAAATTAATAACAAAAACTCTATGAACACTGAATTATTGCTTGAAGGGAAAAGTATGAATAAAATTATGTTATTTTCAAACCGTAGGATGGGAGGCAGTTACATTTGATTACAACTAAGTGAGTTGAGCTTAACACATTAAAGTAAATGTAATTATATTAAGGCATGTCAGGTTTGTGAGACCACTGAACGCAAGTCATACAAGCTTACCACTCCAGATCAGCAGATCCTGGCAAGATAAAGGGAAGCAACTCACACAGTACATGTAACTAGAAACTGAATAACTTTGAAATGTAATTCCATTATGCTTTTGAAACTTACACATGCATATAATTAACAACATATCCACTAAAGAGATGAAGTTTAGCCTAGTGGTTAAGTGCTTGTTCATGACACCAAAGGTCTGAGTTCGATTCCTGGGTTTGATGCTCGAAGACACTGTTTGTTGTCTCAACTATATTATGACTGGAATATTGCCCAAAGTGGTATAAAATCACTGACTTTATTACATTACAACTTATTTCAATAGAAACTGCCCAAAAGCATCAACAAAACAATTACTTCAAATACATATATCAAGATTCCTAACAAACAACATTTTGGAATTGCAACCATTTTAGTGATGAAGTCCTAAGAAAACATCTTGTCCAGTTCAAACCTTCAAAATACCTCATAAACAATATAATAAAATGAGAGGTTAAAGATGTAAACACCCTATAACTCATCTCCCACATTCTTCCTTCCGGTTTAAGTACAAAACTATGGGTGTTATTTCATTGCTGTCCCTTCCTAAACAGAAAAACAAAAATCTTAGCCACACCAGTCTACCCAAACAGTTCATAGAGTATTTGAACACCCATAAACCACACAGCTTGTAGATCCGTTTTCGAAAACTGATTTCTACTTAACCGAAATATGATTTCAGGGAATACATGTAAGTCATACAGCTTAAGATTCATTCCGGAAAGCAGAGGCTGGGAATGCCAATATCTAAGTTACCTAGCCCCACCTGAGCTGAGCCCAAAATAACAAAATGACATATGGTACAGCGGAAAGTTGGCTTTCTCGGCTGTTTGTTTCCATATCTTGCATAGCAGAATCTCTAGGGGGTCATAGCTAGGGTACCTTTATTAAGGGCTTGCATAACTGAACCTTCAGATATTCTAGTGCCCAATGTAAATCAAGTAAATGATCTTGGCTACATTTCCATGAGATGAGGAATATTTGGAAACTGGTCATATATAATATAAAATATATATATGTCATTTTTGTGAAATATATTTGTAGCTGTCATAAGATATCCCATCCATTGTTTATTATTTGAATAAAGATTCAAGATAAAAAAAACCCCTCAGTTTAAAAAAACAAGATGTGGCCAAACAGTTTTTATTTTATTGAGACCGATAATACCTTTCTGAATTCCCATGTTAATTTTGTGAAGAATTCTGTTAATAAATTCTTCAGTTTTAATTTTGTGAAGAATTCTAATTGTTCAGTTAAATGTGTATGCCGATTTGAAGAATTTTATACCTTAATGTTCTAAATGTTCAGATTGAATGTGCTTCCCACCTAATTGTGAAATATTATTCATCACTGGCTTTATATAATTCAAAACATCTTCATGATTTCTGTTGTTAAGAAAACGATATTTCTAAGTGTGCCATTGAAGCTATACTATTTTGCTTGTATCCATGGTAACGGTGCACTAATAAGGAGATCCGTGACTCCTGTGTAAAAGTAAAACAGAATTTACTTTTTTTAATCAAGACTCTTCTTAATGTCAGATCTGACTGGATTTGACTCATTCAATTATTTTCAACGTACCCTGCTTGCATCTAAGTATCATGTGTTATGTCTCCCCTAATATTGCCAAACATTTGGCATTACATTTGCAGCATAATACTGCAAAATTGTATCAATGAAAAATATTAAAATTGCATCTCATATCCAGACTACTAATGATATTGTTCTTTGCACCAGTTAAAGATTCTTTTCAACTTTTGATGTGATGAAAGAATAATTACTTCCGGGACTTACGGAAAGACGTCAGGTTGGTCCATGTTAACAAATGGTTTGTTGCATACAAAGAAGATCGATCAATAAATATGGTCATGAAATCTATATCATCATAATTACTATTACTTTCCAGCTGTCAATAAATCAATATGATCCCAGTGACTTCTACCTTTGAGTGCATATCAAAGGGATTAAACCATTGCTTAAGCTTTGATCTGCAAATAATTCTCCAAATCCATACTTAATAAATTCTTGGTATTGCTTATACTTCGACACAAATGCTTTTCAAACTATCAACAACTAGGACTAACCAACATGTTTGAAACTAATGCTTGCCCACTGGTTCAATTCAAGCAATTTTTATTATGGACCAATGGATCAGTCTGATTATGATTATGAAATAAAAATCCTTTTCAAAGTCGGAGTTCCCATATGTTAATATTTCTGTTATATTGAAAAAGAAATGCTGATGTACCAAATCTTCAAAAATATATATAAAACGAATAAAGTAGTCCCCTTTTCATGACATTAAAAAAGGAATTTAAATATAGCTGTCATGTTCTGTTATGATGTTATTATGATTCACTGTCTTGTATTCATAGCAACAATGGAAAACGAAGGAAACTGCTAAATGTGCAGGTTTGATTCTAAATAAACCGTTTTGAATTCTTAAATATTTATTCCATTAATAGAGAACCTACGATGACATTTATGATACTTTTAATTGAGATATTTTACAAAACTTTCAAAGACACTTTCACACAGGCTCTTTACACACTTACTTCCCTGTATGCTTAGTAGAGCAAAGTGTTGATTTTGACAACAACATCATATTGGTTTCAAAAAGACAGTCCATTTGCTTATCCACCAAATCAGAAATTATCAGGAACCATCTACAAATTAAAATGACTTACTTAAAAAGATAATTTAAACTTCTAAAAACAAAAAAATAAGTGATGGTCAAATACAAAATTGTTTGTAGTGACCATCAATAGACCAATACATTTGATTATTTAATTTAATTATTTTTTTAAGATGAGCTCCAGTACCTATTCTTGAAACTGAGACAATTTCAACTGCATTTGAAACATTACATATAGAAGCAACAGGACTGATGAATCTTAAAGCAGGTTTCTAAAAAGTCACATCACAAAATGTAGCAAGCAACTTGACTCCAAAGGAGGCAAATTCACAACAATCTGCTGTTAAGAGCTGTTCCTGAATTGTATGAAATTCTGACTTACTTATAACACCTGCCAAGACTTGAGAAATGCATGACAACTTCACATCTCAGAATTTTATCTTCATATATTTTTAGTAGCATTATGTCTCAATAAAAAGAAATTGTTTAAAAAAAACTCTTCTTGTTAATCATAGGCCCTTTATCTGAAGATTTTTCACGACACCACTACTGTATCTATCACCCATGTACAGTAGGAGAGAACTGGGAGACAAGGTAATGCACTTAGTGACAAGCTTGTCTGGCTTGGAGAAGCCAAACATGTGTCCAATATGTCTGTCAAGTTCTTTAACTGACACCAGCACCAGGTTTTCTCAAGGTGTGGCATCTTTGTCAAGCACCAAGGTGTGTATTTCTCTGTAGGTGTTCAGTCCAAAAAGGCTGATGACGTGTCAGAATAAAATGACAAGAGATGTTGCCTTTTTTTTAATAACTTTCTTCCCTTTGAATATTTTTTTGTGATGGAGCAGGTTTGTTCCCATTGCAGACACATGTCAATGTTGGCTAGGACACAGATGCAAGGTAGCTAGAACACAGATCCATACTGGCTATGATGCAGATCCATGGTAGCTAGGATGCAGATATCTGTGGTACCTAGGACACAGTTGAGGGTAGCTAGGACACAGTTGTAGGGTAGCTAGGACACAGATATCTGGGGTACCTAGGACACAGCTGAGAGTAGCTAGGACACAGTTGTAGGGTAGCTGGGACACAGTTGTAGGGTAGCTAGGACACAGATATCTGGGGTAGCTAGGACACAGTTGTTGGGTAGCTGGGACACAGTTGTAGGGTAGCTAGGACACAGTTGTAGGGTAGCTAGGACACAGTTGAAGGGTAGCTGGGACAGTTGTAGGGTAGCTAGGACACAGTTGAGGGTAGCTAGGACACAGTTGTAGGGTAGTTAGAAAGCAGATCCATGGTAACTAGGACACAGATATAGGTTAGCTAGGACACAGATCCATATTAGATAAGACACAGATATTAGTTAACTGGGACGTAGATCTGTGGTATATAGGAAGTCCCTCTTTCATGTGTCCAGTCGATGACCAGTGCAGTGTGCAACCCATCCCCCTTTTCAAAGACCCCAGCTAATAAATATCACTTACCTAAATAAGTATTGCAAATAAACTCTGCTATCTGGTTTCCAGACTTGCTAGATTCGGCGAAGTGACTCAGCTCTCGATTCAACATTCGTTTGAACTGAAACAGACAAAGAAAAAAATTATGAATATGTCACAAGCATAAGGGAATTATCTGAAAAGGCAAACAAATGCCTGACTTATTCAAAATAATATCATCCAAATGACGCAATCCTGTGACACCACATAATGTGTATTTTAGGGATCACGGAGGATATATTATTTCATGAAAGCATGGCCTATGAGCCCCCAATGAAAGCAACTAATCACCAAAACACAGTGAAACACAAAGAGGCCATTAGGTCAGAACTGGTCTGGTATTTGCTTTAAAGATGTTTTCCCAGCTGGCTGACAGACAGGTGTGAGGAATGTTTTTTCTTTACTCAAAAAATTTGTTTAAATCAATAAAATTATTTAAAAATTAGCATGAAATACATTTACATGATTACAGTTTGTCCAAAAGTGGCTGAGAAATGGCCATGAACAGCTTTTTTCAATATGGCTGGCTTGGTGGCCATATTGCAAATTAGGATTTGAACTCTTTAACAAATTCAGCTTTTATAACAGGTGGGGATTTAGGCTTCAACTTCCTTGGTCTAGCAGTGTCCGAAGGATGATGTGTATAGTGCTAGGAATGACTGACTGACTGAGTTTGGTTTTATGCCGCTTTTAGAAATATTCCAGCAACATCACGGCATATAGTGCTAGGAAATGCAGTTGGAGAGATTTAGAGGGTTAAGCACAATACTAAACAACTCTAAAGTTCAGCCCCACTACAAATTATACCTGTCATATGTCAAAAACAATTGGCATGAATAGCTTTTTCAAAATGGTTTCTGTGACAGCATGTTGAAAATTGCATTGTAACATCTTGAACAAATTGGGATGTCATCTATGGTACGACAAAGAAGCAAAGTTTCAGCATGATTGGTTTGTGGTTTCTGAGAAAAAAAATGTTTATGAAGCATGATACATGTGGACGATAAATTTCACTGTTTATAAGTCAGGTGAGCTACAACTGTGGGAATTCAATGCTTCATAAAATTCAATGCGGAAGGGAAGGGAAGTAACTCTCTGCTTAAGGCCCCATGCTCTTTCTGTCATTAAACAATTAGCCATTGCCTTGAGTTAGACATCAAATTGAGAAAGATTTTTTACATACATCTCAAGCAAAGGATATTTGAAAAAGACAAGTACTTTTGACAACTTCTGATGATGAAAATTCAACATTCCTCCATCAAAACATATTGCCCCGTAACACGTGTATGTCTTCCACAACATGTCGTTGTTGACGATGCTTATAAAACTTAAGTGTGCATAGGTAATCTGCAGTACGTGTCAGACATGTGTCACTTAGCCTGCACAATACTGTTTATTAGTCACTGTTAACAGACAGAAATACACATGTCGTCAATAGATCCCAACAGCTGTTGTATGCCCATGGAAAGTGACATGCAAACCTGTCAATCAAGCATAAGGAACAATTTGATATTATTTCATGATTGACTGACATGCAATTGATTAAAGTGTTTCGCCATTGATGGTATTTTCTCAAATTCTTAATTCCTTGTCTACTGGATATCACATTGTTTGTCGATATCTTCTCAATATGGACATCTTGGACAGCTGAATATCAATTTTTTCCATGATACATCTTCACAATAAAATATTAAATTGCTACAGTAAGCAATTTGATTTTTCACCAAACCATCTTCCATACATAACAGGAAGAATAGGGGTCCCAGTCATCTAAAGCACCTTATTTCAATGAGCAGAGTTGCCTCCCCTTGGTGACACCAGGACCATCTAAGACCCGCAGGACTTGAGGCTTTTCATCCACGTTAACCTGACATACAGTCATATAACTGGAAAACCATGTCTGGTGTTCCCTGCAGTAATATTGCTGGAATATTGCTAAAAGCGGCTTAAACTAAACTCACTCACTCACTCACTATAACTGGAAAACTGTCAAAACGACACCCACCTCACTCACTAACCCACACGCAAGACTAGACTGGTTGTCCAAAACACTGATCAAATCAAGGTCATAAGCAAATAACAATTAAAACGAAAATCTTCCATCATTCATTAAATTATGCTAAAAACAAACACGCGTATAATGAAAGGATGGATATCAGAAACTTGTTGTTTTGCCCTCGCCACCCGCTGTATATTTTAGTTGAAATGTGAATAACACAGTATGGATAGAACACCCAAAATTAATTGTCGTCATGAGTTCATAATGGTCTTAGTTTACTGTATTTGCCTATAAACAAGGTGATAACAAATACACTCCCATCTAAAGTGCAGAGAAAGTACAAGCCATCTACAAATGTCTATCTATTAAAAGCCTCCACAAATCCTCCATCTGATTGAGAAGCGTCAACACATCCCAAAAGAGCCATTGTTGTGATTCACCTTAAGTGTCTCTCAGACAAAGAATTCTATCCTTGAACGCAAGTGAAGAGAGAGAACATTGATCAAATGGTACTGATCAGATGACAGAGAGGATGAAGCCATATACGTGTTGTTCAGTACAATATAATACTCAAGTGTCTATTTGTGTCAGAAGTGCGTGTGCCAGTGCAGAAAGGTTTAGAAGTCTGGCACAAAGTTTAAAACTTAATAACATATTATATATTCATTAGGTGTAATTACCTCATTGAACTTTAAGTGAGTGAGCTCAGTTTTACACCATTTTTAGTGTTGGTGGATGGGTGGGTTTGATGGGTGAATGGGTGGGTGGATGGATGGGTATTGCATGGATGGATGGGTGAATGGGTGGGTGGATGGATGGATATTGCATGGATGGATGGATGGGTGGATGAATGGATGGATATTGCATGGATGGATGGATGGATGGATGGGTGAATGGATGGATATTGCATGGATGGATGGATAGGTGGATGGATGGATATTGCATGGATGGATGGATGGGTGAATGGGTGGGTGGATGGATATTGCATGGATGGATGGATGGGTGGATGGATGGATATTGCATGGATGGATGGATGGGTGAATGGGTGGATGGATGGATATTGCATGGATGGATGGATGGGGGGATGGATGGATATTGCATGGATGGATGGATGGGTGAATGGGTGGATGGATGGATATTGCATGGATGGATGGATGGGGGGATGGATGGATATTGCATGGATGGATGGATGGATTGATGGGTGAATGGGTCGGTGGATGGACAGATGAAAATAATACTCAAGTGTCTATTTGTGTCAGAAGTGCTTGTGCCAGTGCAGAAAGGTTTAGAAGTCTGGCACAAAGTTTAAAACTTAATAACATATTATATACTCATTAGGTGTAATTACCTCATTGAGCTTGAAGTGAGTGAGCTCAGTTTTACACCATTTTTAGCAATATTCCAACAATATCACAGCAACAGAAATGGGCTCCACACATTGGACCCAATGGGGGATCAAACCCGGGTTTTTGGTGTGACAAGTGAATGTTTTACGCACTAGGCTACCCTGCAGCCCCTGAACTTTAAGACAATGACAGGTTTAGTCATACACAGTTAAAGTTATACGCCAACCTGTGATCTAATGTTGGACCTTACATCAATAAAGCATGCAAGTAAAATCAATAACAGCTATGATTAACAATGTGGGCTTTGGATGTTCGTTGACTTGTAGAATTACATAAAAGAGTTGTGTGAGTGACGAGTGACATGAGTGAGTGAGTGAGTGGGGTATCGGATGTCGGCTGGTATGATCGAGTGTAATTACTGTGCATCGTGAGCTGTCTCGAGTGGGAGTGTTCTAACGATATGATGTCATGAAACCTCTCTAATGAAGTGATGAGCTGAACATCATGAAAAAAGGGACATGTAACATGGTCATCATTGCTGGTCTTCGTCAACATATTTAATATCATCAATGACATCGAAAAAGGCATCCATTTCCATTTTATGACTGTCACATATTGCTTCTAGGAGATTAAGTGCTGTAACATGGTTTTCATTCCCACATCATTGCTCTGTGGTCTTCGTCAGTGACGTCATAGCACTGTAAGACATCATTAGTGACGTCATTGCACTGTGGTCATCATCAGTCAGTGGCGTCATAGCACTGTGGTCTTCGTCAGTGGCGTCATAGCTCTGTAAGACATCATCAATGACATCATTGCACTGTGGTCTTCATCAGTGGCGTCATAGCACTGTGGTCTTTGTCAGTGACATCATGTGGACATCATCAATGACACCATTGCACTGTGGTCGTCAGTGACATCTCAGCACTGTAAGACATCATCAATGACATCATTGTGCTGTGGTAGCACCTCGTCAGTGACATCATAGCACTGTAAGACATCATCAATGACATCATTGCACTGTGGTCTTCATCAGTGACGTCATAGCACTGTGGTCTTCGTCAGTGACGTCATAGCACTGTAAGACATCATCAATGACATCATTGCACTGTGGTCTACGTCAGTGACGTCATAGCACTGTAAGACATCATCAATGACATCATTGCACTGTGGTCTTCGTCAGTGACGTCATAGCACTGTAAGACATCATCAATGACATCATTGCACTGTGGTCTTCGTCAGTGACGTCATAGCACTGTGGTCTTCGTCAGTGACGTCATAGCACTGTAAGACATCATCAATGACATCATTGCACTGTGGTCTTCGTCAGTGATGTCATAGCACTGTGGTCTTCGTCAGTGACGTCATAGCACTGTAAGACATCATCAATGACACTGCACTAAAGACATCATCAGTGACATCATAGCACTGTGGTCTTCGTCAGTGACGTCATAGCACTGTAAGACATCATCAATGACATCATTGCACTGTGGTCTTCGTCAGTGACATCATAGCACTGTGGACATCATCAATGATGTCATTGCACTGTGGTCTTCGTCAGTGACGTCATAGCACTGTAAGACATCATCAATGACATCATAGCACTGTGGTCTTCGTCAGTGACGTCATAGCACTGTAAGACATCATCAATGACATCATAGTGCTGTGAGGCATTATCAATAAAACGTCACCACATGCTAAAGATTGAAGTTATTTGTTTTTCATCCATACTGACTG